GTACGGCTAGACTCTCAGTCTTGCCGTACTTAAGTACGGCTGGCCACTTCGTAATTAAAATGATGAGGCCCTGTTTACTACAACCAACTAATTGAATAAACTGTTGTGAATTGCTAGTTTGAACTTCTGTCTTGAAATTGAAAGATCATAGTACTTTGCTTCTCGTACTCGTAATCAATATAATATATTTGGTATATTTATCTCTCTGCTCCGTTCCATGGACGCCGTAGGGTCATTCGATCATTCATGGTGGGCTGTCTTTGGCCTTCTCTGTCCCCACGCCACAAGAGCCTTTACATTGGTGACTTTCTTTCCCTGTCCCCTTGTCTAAATCGTGTGGGTGCGAGGAGAGGGTGCTGTTTTTCTACTTTCTCTGTCTTGATAATGATGCCAAACATCCTCACAATTACAGGGCAGCCTGCAAAAGTGACGTACCATTATCTCTCTCTTGTCTCCTCCTTTTTTCTTTTTCCCCTCCCAATTGTGACCTCTCCCCCCCCCCTCCCTCCTCTGTCACCTCTTTGTCCCTCATCCCTCCTATTACCTCTTTTTCTCTCCCTTGTCATCTTTTTCATCCCTCCCCTGTCTCTTCTTTTACTCTCCCTGTCATCTTTTTCACCCCTTCCTGTCTCTTCTTTTTTTCTTCCTTGTAATCTTTTTTTCCATCCCTATTGTCGCCTATTTGTTTTTCCTTTGTTGTGGCAGTTTTAATATCTAAAAATTGGAGTTATTCTGGCTGAAAAATCTTATCTAGGAGACTGGCGAGATGACAAGGGAGGAAAGAATAGAGATGATAAGGGAGAGATAAAGAGGGGACAAGGGAGATGAAAAGAGGGGACAGCGGAGAAGCAGAAGACAAGTTATTGAACCTTGGCAAATATTCTGATCTGAAAGCTAACTCCTGTGTACGGTCAACCTGTCCAAGAATTAATTGTGTGATGATGAAAGTATTTAAAAAATGATAAGAATAGAGTTCTATTCCAGTGTCATCAGGCTCATCATTTATTCAAAGTTTTTTTTTTGTTCATAAACTTTATCTTTTGCCGTCTCGAATGCATCTGTTATCAGGCGAGCATTTTTGCTACCGAAAATTTATGTCTTTATGTGGACTTAAAAAGAACAAAAATAGTCTTCAGAGGTTTTTAGAAAGTCAAAGCGCAGTGCTGGAAAATAATACAACTCATGTGTGCAATGCAGTCTAAATGTAATCGAATATCTGTCAACCATTGATGTGACCTTCTTTGTATTGTTTTTCCTTCTCTAGCGAGAGTTTACGCCTTCAACTTTTACTGCCCGGACGCACCTAAGCAGATCAATCTTGCACAAGGGGAACAAGCTTCCATCATCACTCGCTACCGGGGACAGAGCTTTTACTCGGAGAGTCAGTACTGCGAGTGGCATGTTGACGCGGGCCTGGGGCAACGTGTGCATGTCGAGGTGGCACAGTCAGATCTGCAGTATGCCCAGCCAGGGTCCCTTTGTGATGGATTTGACAGTGTGAAGATCGTTGATGACCTTGGTGGGTACGAAGGTGGTTAGATGATGCATGTGCATAATCTATGACATGTGATTCAATGTGTCATCAAATCGCTGTTTCCCAGTGTATCAGTATGCCAAGTTCATAAAAATAAACATACAGTAGAGGTACCAATACCTAAGAAAGAGGACATTTGCAACAGTTTTTAATATCATATTCGTTAATAACATAACCTAAAGCCTATAAAAATCATTAGTAAAGCAGTCAACACAAGTTGGGTCCAATAATACTCACTTATTTCTGTTTCGTTGTACCAGGTTACAGCAGAGGGTCCTTATCCCCAAAGTGACAAAGATCAGCATGTATGAGATATTCCCAGTTACATTGTTTTTGAGGAATCTTGGGAATTTTTGGTACAGTCTGTCCACCCACCCTGTCTTTGTTCCACCAGAAAAAAGTAATAAACCAAAAATGTATGTCCAGGAAAATAATTTTACTCTATTGTTTTGTTGCAAGGGATGTTTTAGTACAGTTGTTGCTGTAATAATTTTCCCTCAGAGAATCTTGTGTTGGTGAGCTGGTGTGGGAACGAACATCCAGATGTCATCAATACGGAAGGACATCAGTTAAAAATTGTGTTCAGCTCCGACAGCATCACACCCTCCACAGAGCGCTACACACGTGGGGTCACTCTCACACTGAAGGCTTTTGGTGAGGGAGGGTTCTGATACCAATTATGACTTTATTTTTTTTTTCATATCATTATGTTTCTGGTTCATGGAATGAATGCAGCTTTAATTAACACAGAAGCAATTTAGATTATTCAGGAGGCAGGCCTCTGACCCTGTCTGTCAGGCCCAACCCAGGCTGAGAGGTATACAACTTCCAAGCAGAAAAACCGAGATATTTGATAGAAATGTCTCCTCACTGGGAAATTGAATGTAGGTCTCCTACCTGTGACAGCAATGCTCCTATCCACTGAAACTGTAGTTGTAGAAAGACCATTTATAGGTTTCTTGAAGTGTGGAATCTTTGCTAGCTGTTGCTGAAAAAGGTGAAGTAATCGGAGCAGTTTTACGCTCCTATCAACACAGTTTAGGTCATCTAGGAGGTGTGCTGCTTCTACTTTGCCTGACAGAGCCAACTGGGGCCAAGAAGGATACAAAATCCCAGAATCAAGACTGAGATGCTCAATAAAAATTCTACCCACACAGGAATCGAATTCATGTCTTCTGCGTGAGACGGCAAAGCGTCAAACTGCAAATAAAAAAAATAAAAAAAATAAAAATATTGATTGTTATAATAATGATAATAATAATAATGATAATGATAACAATAATAATACAACTAATAATAATTGTATTGCACTTATCCCAGCTCCACAGCAAGTCCTATGCACTTTACAGTCTATATTATTACCCCAGCAGACCCCAGAACACTCAGAAACATTCTCAGCTTCCTGGGAAGCATACACCATCTGCAGATGCTGGTGCTTTTTTTTGACTCACCCGCCAACTTCTTTGAAAAGAATCAGAAACTTGTTATTTCTGATTGCATCGTTTATGTCCTTTTCCAGCATCGTCAGAATGTCCCCCGGACTGGCAGAGATTGGAGTCTTCCTGTTTCAAACGGCAAACGTCTAAAGCAAGTTGGTTTGAGTCTCAAGAAGGATGCAACCTAGAGCAGGGGAATCTTGCCAGTATCAAATCTCAGGAGGAATTTGACTTCATTAGAACTTGTAAGTTTCTCAGCAGTCAAAATTTGTCTTGTCTTGATTTGCCATATAAATTAATATCTATTATATATATGTTGTTATTGTTGTTGTTTTCAAATCCCTTTAGCTGCGAGCATTTCGCTCTCTTTCTCTCTTTCTCTCTCTATATACATATATATATATATATATATATATATATATATATATATATATATATATATATATATATATATATATATATATATATATATATATATATATATATATATATATATATATATATATATATATATCGCTAGCCACATGATTCAACCGCCTAAGCAAAGAGACAAATTTTTCTGGATAAACAAAAAACTATTTTATTTCATTATGCTCGTACCTATGAATCTGAAATTCAGATATGTGATATAATATGATGTAGGACGATGGTCTGTAATCAACTTTTTTAAAATGATGCTTTCTTACATAAGTTACTGGACATACGCGGTTTACACCTAGTTACCAAAATCTGCGTAATTCAACTGCGTAAGTTACAGTATGACGATGTCTAGTTGTTTGAATCATGTTAATCAACGCCACTCGACGAGCGACAATGGTCGCTTGGGCGTTTGAGTAATGGACAAAAGCGAACCATAATAGTTTTAAGAGTAATTGCTAAGTTAAGAGTAATTGTTTCAGTTATTTGGTTGGGTCTACTGGGGCAGGACTGTTTTTTGACCTCCTGGAGTTGGTAAAAAAAAAAAGTCCATTCATCTTAACTTTCAATTTGTACTGGATGTTTTTGTTCAGTGTGTATCAAAAGTAACGAACGTTTGTGATAACGGGGTCATTTTTGTTTCAGCCAGGTCCAGAAATCGAACATCAAAGGAGGGGGGGATACTGTTTTGCTTTCTTACAATCGTTCAAGATTACCCATGAGCATTTGGACCAAACCTTTTTTCAGTGACTGTCGATTACACTGTGTGTGCTGTCCACTTCCATTTGTGTTTGTTCTTTTTCAAGGTATTTGTGTTCAACAATTTTGTTTTATCTGGTACAAATATTGCTGATTGCATTTGACAAGATAGCGTTGTGGTCTGATAAGTACAGCCATCACTGTATATAATGAATGTTGCCTATTTATTGTCAATAGGCACGTCCAGGAAGTTACTGATACAAGAAGAGAATTCATTGGCAATCAATGGTCCTTCTCCTTCGTGCCAAATGTGACACTTCACATCTTTGGTTACCAAATTTTATAAAATATAGACAGCTAATTTGGTCCCGCTATGATATAGTGCAGCAGATGCGTTCAACGCCATATTAACAAATCCGCTTCCAAGTCCATGCACATTAGATAAAACCTGGTCTCATCCACTTTGTTTTTTGCAAGCTTCATGTTAGATTTTTTCTCCTACCTTGCATACATCACATTGATCCTCCTGACATACATACAACAACAGGTTCTTATTTTTGAACATCTCTCTAAAGTGGTCTGGGACAAAATGTAACTCTTTCCATTTTCTTTGGTACTCTCTAGAAAGACCTCGGAGGCTTTGAAAGTTTTAGTCAAGATAGATTTTGCCTGTATTCTATCTGTAGTAATGGGAAAGCAATTTCATCAAGTTTGTCAAAGAATTATTTATCACCAAATTGTTCTTCTCTTCTGCTCTGTTGTAATTCGATAATCGTGAAGCTCCCATCTCCAAGTCATGTATACTCTCTTTGTAACAGTCATGAATAACCACTGTGTGAGGGCAGTTGTATACAAACTCATTGTTTTGCATGTACGTAGAATGTATGAGATTTGGTTCAAATTGAAGTGTACAGCTGGAGAGTTGAAGTTGAAGGTTTGTTAAAAAGAGAATTTTGGGGGCGAATATGTTTATGAGCTGCTTTTTTTTTTTAGTGACAAATTAAGTATCATCTACCCAGCACTGATAAACTAATCAACAATTCGTTGAAGGCAGACACAGCAAAGGGCGCACACTTAAAGCAAATTAAGAAAAGCAAAAAGTCGTGAAAAAATATTTTCCAACAGTTATTTGTACCGAATGTGAAATAATCGCCCCTTAGCTGTCGATCATAGACTTTTTTAAAAATTCATTCGTCGGTACTTTTGCCACAATTGACCTACTTTGTCGAGTCAGTGTTAACATATTCTTTGGTACCATCTTGCCCTTTCTCAACTACACTACCAAACCTAGTGATAGATTACGCAAATTTCCTTGACAAAATCGTCTGGCTATGGATAGGGTTCGATCTGAGTCGAACTAAGTAAAGGCAGAACTTTGCATGATATTACCCTCCAGTCCTTTTTGACAAAGGCCACAGTCATGTGGGTCAAGCCGCCTACGGGACTTGTGAACACTTCAACAAGTCACTGATTCTGCGTGATTCAACCACCCATTCGCCACTGGGCTGCGAAACTGGCACTTGGACGGTTGAACACGTGGAAATCGGGGACTGGTGTGATTTAGGTGATTGATTTACTGAAGGATTGAAACACTTTGCAGTAATCTTTCAAACTTGGAATTTTAACATAAGGTGTGTCAAAAGTTGTTCTACATAAAGAGATCAAAAAGTGATTTTCGTAAATTTGTCGCTTAGGCGGTTGAATGACGCGGCTAGCTAGATCTATATAAATATAAATGCTCAGTTTCCAGAAAGAACAAGTACCAAAAATTTGGGGCAAAAGGGGGCGGGGGAGGTTGTAATAAAATTATTTTTTCTTAGGATTGGAATTAAAACTCTGTGGCGCATATGTTACTTCTGCGATAATATGGATCATAGGTTGTGTGGTTTACACCATGTTGGATCAATACCAAATTAGTCAGGAATTAATTTTTGCAGTTTGGACCCACATTTATGTATTTAAGCAACTGAAAACTTGTGTTATGTTATGTATTAAGCGTAACTGTTGATGACCAGATGAGATCAGAAAGAAGAGACAAACAGAAGGAGAAATAGGGGGAGAAGTGAAGGAAAAAATAAAAATAGAAGGGGTGAAGAATGAAAGGAGAAATAGGGTGGACTGAAGATAGAAACTTGGAAAATAGAGGGAGGAATGAAGGAAAAAATAGAGGGGAGAATAAAAGGAGAAATGGGATGAGGAGAATGAAGGGAGAAACAGGGAAAAATAAGGGGAGAAACAGATAGAGAAATAGAAAGGTTGAGCTGTTCATGGGAGTTATTGATGACTCTGGTCATTGCAGTTTGTCTGTCGTCAAGGATATGTTTGTGGAAACGTTTTGACCTAATTTTGTTCATACTACCAATGCCCACACGTCCAATTTTGCTCATACCTCAAATGTTCCCGTCTCTAGCTTTGCTCGTACCATAATTATTAAATGTCCACTTCTTTAACCGCCCTCTGTTCCGTTGTATGTTCTCAGACTTCAACGCGACGGGGAAAGTCTGGATAGGACTCAGCGACATTGCCTCCCCCACCACTTTTGAATGGATTGATAAAGTGATTTCCACTTCCTATAACGGGTAGGAGTTATCAGATGGATGTCTAGTCCAGTAAAAGAACTGAAAACCCTGTATTGTTTGTACTTAGATTTACTCACAATAATAATGAGCATAGACACTGCCAAGATTTCTAACAAAAATTGACACAGTGATGTAAATTATGACCTACTCACAGCTGCAAAACAAAAATGAAAATGTAACGCAGGATTTCTTGTTAGTGTAATAGAAGAGAAATGAGTGCTAAGAGAGCTGCCTTGGGTGTTCCTGTTTTGTCAGGTTTTAGTTTACTGACATCCATGATGTAGTGGTTAGGTGCTTAGCTGTCACATGCTGGAGACCCGAGTTTGATTCTCAAGTGGGGAGAAATTTTTATTGAGTATCTTGGTCTTTCTGCTGAGATCCAGATTGGCACTGACCGGTAGGGTCGGAAGCCAGCCTCTTAAACAATCTGAATTACAGTCGAACCTGCCCTGACGGCCACCTCTATAAGACGGCCACCTGCACAAACGGCCAGTTTCCATTCCCCCCCCCGGATTTTTTCTTTATAATTTAACTGTGTAAAACAGGCACCTGTCCAACGAGGCCACACACAACCCTATCACACCAAGCAATAACACTTGTCCTAGACGGCCACCTTAGTGACTCCATTACGTTTTCAATTTGTCATAAATCATGCATTGGCCTCTGGTGTTGTAAGCGAGCCATCATAATTCAGCCACCTGTCCTTGTTGTTAGGTAGTCCCTCCAACTGATCATGTTGCATAGGCCCCTCCCACTGTTAACCAATAGGTAACAAATTTTCAGCTGCTGGTGAGGTAAGCATGTGATCCCTCATAACCCATAAGCCCCGCCTAGAACTCGTACACAAATCGTAAGTGAGATGAGTGGTCACTGTTTACTCAGTCTGTAACAAAGTAACAATGGACGTCAACATGAACTTGTGACAGAAGCGTCGCTCGTTCTCCGAGTGGTGGCGACCCATGTGTTTGTTTTACTCTAGCACTCGATCCTCCTTGTCTGACAAATTTCGTTTTATTGTCACCCATGCGCAAAATCAGCAACAAAAGAAGTAAAAAGAAGGAAAAAAAAACAGCGAAAACAACAACAACAACGCGGCTACCTTTGGTTAGGTCCTCAGAAAGGAATGGTTTGTTTTCTTCATTTTGATCAGTCCTGCCTAAGACGGCCACCTGTTTTATACGGCCACTTTTCTCTTTGACAATGGGTGGCCATCTTACACAGGTTCAACTGTATATTGATAGGGGTAAAAAAAAAAAAAAAAGAAAAAACGTTGGGTTTTGATTTAGTGTTTGGAGTTTACCTGACTCATTGCTGGTTGGTGGCTATATGAGTGTACACAGAAACACGATCGTGTTGTTTGAAGAGCTACTGTAGGGTCTGTCGATTTTGACTTCCATATATATGAGTTAAGTCAACACTGTGGTAGATTTTGTTAAACCTGTAAATGAAGCTTTTGTTGTAAATCAAAATGTAAGTGTGGGTGTTTTGCAGGTGCTCTGGTGTTGTCTGATCCTCCTTTCCTACCAAACATGTATCGTCATTATTTTACTTCCTTCTTTTTATTGTTTGTTACTTTCTTGTAACACCTCTAATCTTTAGCACTTGTATGATGTGATTGTGTTGCAAATGCCGTAAAATGCTTACTAAAGGAAAGGGAAAAAAAAGAACTATGTAATTGTTGAGTCATGCTTTTTGGGGCTGAAGTTGAAACAGCCTGCCTTCCGTATTATCCTAATTATTGCGAATGGGGTTGCAAAGATTTTTAATCAAACCTCACCAGCGATTGTTAATGTATAAAAACAGCTTGATCCCCATGCCCTGAGTTCCCTCAGTGACATCAAATTTTTCTCTGGATCGTCCCTCCAGGGTATCAACCTTGACCCCCAACAAGTTCAGCCATTGTGTGAGCCTGAATGTCAAGTCAGAGGAGCTCAGCACTGAAGACTGTGAGGGCAAGAAATACGAGTCTCTGTGTAGAGCAAACAGAGGTCCACCATTTACAATTTACCCATTACCAAGGGAGGGAACAAACAAAGGTAAACTACAGCCCTCCCTGACACTGTGGGGCTGCATTTGTGTATATGTGTCACAGCTTAGAGTGGCATCCCTTGATGATAAATGTGACATAGAGGGGATGGGGAATAGTATGAATGTTTGTGGAGACATGGAGAACAGAATTAGTATCTATGTTTGTACATACCGGAGAAAAGGAAATATACTCAAGTCTATTCTAACGGCCTCCTGTATAAGACAACCACCTACTCTAACAGCCACCTGTATAAGACAATCACTTGCCCTGATGGCCGCCTGTATAAGACAACCACCTACTCTAACAGCCACCTGTATAAGACAACCACCTACTCTAACAGCCACCTGTATAAGACAATCACTTGCTCTGAAGACTACCTGTATAAGACAATCACTTGCTCTGATGGCCACCTATATAAGACAATCACCTGCTCTGAAGACTACCTGTATAAGACAATCACCTGCTCTGAAGACTACCTGTATAAGACAATCACCTGCTCTGAAGACTACCTGTATAAGACAATCACTTGCTCTGACCGCCGTTTCCTATGTCCCCCTCTTGTATCTTTTGGACAATATAATGACACTCTGTAAGGTGTCCACCTGTTTAAGACGGACACTTTTTTTCTTGAAAATGGCTAGCCGTCCTGGACAATTTGAACAGTAGCATGGATGTTTGTGTAGACATGTCGGAGAGAAGTTTTCATCGGCCAGCGATTGGTTTGTTCTTGAGATTGACATGTTCATCAGTCACACAATAACAGAGCTGCCAACAACTATATAAAAGAAGTATATGATATGTTGAAGAGTCTGTGTGTGGAAGTCAGTTTTTATGTCAGAAAATATGTATTCTCTATTTTCAAGAAATGCACGTCAAGAACTTACAGATGCTGACGAAACATGAATTTTCAAGAGCTGATTTGCAAATAATGATGATCAGAACAAAGCCTATAAGTCACATGGATTGTTTCCTTCACTATAGCTGACATTGTAGTTTTCTGCATGGAAAATTTCAAAATTCTGCGCTGAATTTTACCCCCAAAATGACAAAATTCTGCAAAAATTCTGCAAGGACTGCGACCATGTCTAAACTTCTTTTTCCATACTGCTTTAAATATATATAAGTACCAATTAATCATAAGCTGAGAAGTAGCACTACAGACACAGTAAATAAAATATTTCTAAACCCAGCAATTAGCAGCATACAATCTGTATTATTGTTTTGAAACACAAGCCCATAACATAAAATACTAGCAAAAGCATTACCCCAAAAAGTGAGACACTCTACCGGTAATTCCAAATTCAGGTGAGCCGGCAGTTTGAATGTCATTGATTGTCAGGAGGTGTTGAAGACAAAAAAAGACGATTATGTTGTTTGAGACAAAAGAAGTCCTAGGAAGATAGGCAAATATGTAGGAGAATTATTTGAAGGTAGAAGACCACCCCTACCACAACCAAGCCACAACAATGGTTCCAACATTCATAAATAAGTTAGAGGTAGAGATCGTAATTAGAATTAGAAACAACCCAGAAGGAAAAGCCGCGGGTGAAGGTGGCATAAACTCAGAAATGCCCATCCAGGGTGGAATTTACGGGTATGGTCAAGTGCCACATCATGTACTAACTGTTATAACAGTTTTCCGCCAGACACATGTGTGCTTTTGGTCACGGCGTCACTTTTCGCCCGATTCTGTTACCTTTAGTTAGCGTGACTCAGCAGCCCGCCAGAGCTCCCCGGATTGGGGTCACGGGGTTAATGAGCCCCAAAGCGATGGTGTCGGTTAGGAAGTTCGCATTTTTGACTATGTTTAAAACGATATAACTTCTTCCCCATCCCACACAGAAAACCATTACGTGGATGTACTAAAAGCTCAATATTTTGAGATTTATTCTGAGTTAGAATGGTTTGTTTCTGTGCCTTAGTTTTTGTTCTAGACAAGTGTTTGTAGAGTACCCAATTTGTTCTATTTTATTTCAAACTTATGAATAAATTATTGTTAATTTTTAAAAGGCATGACAGATCTCTCCAAAATCTGTGTTACACTGACTACGAATATCATGTCTTTTACCATGAGAAATCTTAAATTTGCGCGAGTAGTAATAGTCAAGTTATAAGAGAAGAAAAATGCACATCTGCATTTTTTAATTCAAGACGATAAGCGTTAGCTCTTATTTTACTATTACTATTAAACAAGAGAAAGTTACTCTGTGGTTGTTCATGAATCATGCTGTGTCTGTGGCAGCCTGCATACAACTAAAAAGATATAATATAAGCGATTTAAAAACCCACAAAACCGTGTAAATACATGGGTAGAGATAAACTTCTTGTATGGAATAAAAATAATGACAGCTAACACATTCATTCTTAGTTTTTGTGTCGGAAATATGTGCGGACACAATTATGAATGAAAAGAAGTCAGTCACATTGTCAGTTATTGCAAATGGTCATAGAAATGGAAAAAAAGCTGGAAAAGTCAGGTGCTGATTCAGTGTCCCTGGAAAGCTAGAAATTATTCTTGTAACTCAATTACAAGAAGTCATCCCTATTATTCAGCCAGTCAACTTACAAAACATAGACTTAGCGTTTTAAATAAGTAAGGAATTTCTGGAGTGTAACATATACTGTTCGTGTATTACATTGAAGATGTATTCTGGCATTTAAATCGATTTGTAATTTTCATAGAGAAACTTCATGATAATTTTTATAAACTTTTGAGAAAATATGCGAATATTCATGATTATATTAGACACATAAAGTTGTATTTGGAGGAATTACTTCATAGCGAATTGTGTGCCCGATGGATAAAGTTGCAAAACTACAGCTTTCTATTATATGCGCAGATACCAATTTTTCTGAGTATCTGCACCAATGCTATGTCGTTCATGTTCCAAAAGTTCGACAGATTTTGTCGAGGCCTTTTTTAAAATTCACGCTAGTCAAAAAAACCCAACAATTTAGCATTGACGACTCCAGCACGTCTAACAAAATAACCAGACAAGTTACAATGTCCGTTCTTTTTTGAGTCTCAAAAGCAGAAATGCGTGCTTTGGGTGCACTAAATGAGAATTACCATAAATACAAGGATGCACCAAAAATTGTACATTGAAAAGTACCAAAATTTAAGTCGGCCCAGACAGAGCGGCGACAGGGAGCTGACCCCCGTGACCCCGACGTTTTAAGGCGCCTGCCGGCGGGGAACCCCCCGCAGCAACTAAAATTCCACTGCTGGTGCGCCATGTGGTAAACTGAAGCTGAAGTTACGCGGCATTTGTTTTCAATGCATTCTTTCCTTTAAAAAATGTATCCATTTTTACTGAAAGACAAATTTCGTCTCGCATGTCCTCATGACTGAAGTGTTTTTGGGGCATTCCCTATGCTCAGTAGAAATGTAAATGGGCTGATTTATAAATATAATATTCAATGTCACGCTCACAATATGCCGGAATAACATAGGGAACTGCTGCTTTCTCTTTTCTCTTCCTTAATATCGTCATTTTCCTCTACTTCCTTTGTATGTTTGTCACTTTCTTGTGAACTGGTATTTCCGGGGTACCTTGATAATCGACTTAGTGCTGTTGAAGCTGAGATGAGCAGAGTAAGCCTGATTCCCTGTTTATACCTCTCTGTTGACATCCACCCCTTGACGCTCATATAACTAGTTACAAGCTCCGTAAATCATACATATACGGGGTGTCCACTACGGATTGGATGGGCCGAATGGGCCTATCGCCCAACTCGGTCACCTCAAAAACAACATGTTTGTTTCCAGTTTCGAGTCGGGCGATCGACCTGATCCAGCCGTAGTGGGCACCCCATTATAAAACAAACAAGAATCTAGATCTTGATCAATTTTGTTTCCAAAAGAAAAAAAGTGCTCTAATTTCTGGCTTCCCATGAGAAGGAGATCACTTTAACATCGTCAGCTCGCTTCAGGTTAATTTTTTTCTCGCAATTCTACGTCTGAAAGCATAATAATGCTGCAAAATTTGTCAAAATTCTGCAAAAAATCAAAATTCCGCAGCCGCCCGCGCCGCAGTTGATCCTTTTTTTCGCAGTTGCAGCGCCCTCGGAAAACTACGATGTTAGCTATAGTTAGAGATCTTTACTTTATAAATCTCGCATTATTTTTGCAATTCTGCTTTGAAACACTTATAAAAATAATAAAAATAACATTTATATATAGCGCTTTTCCCAAAAAAAAGTACAGTGGAAACCTGATATAACAGGGATGGTGGGAGTAGAGAAAATGTCCTGTTATATCCGATCCCTGTTAAATCAGAAATACAAGGAAAGTAAGCATTTGTGGATTAATCCAGCTGTAGTTATTCATGGGTAGTTTCCTTTGCCACAAGTACCCACGAACAGGGGTTTTGGCACCAACTTTCTCCTTGCCTCCTTAAACCACATCAGAAGAGCTTGGTCCACAGCATCTGCATCCGGTAGTCTCATCTTCTTTCGATCCAGAGCAAACTTTCCATTTGAGTATGCTGCCACTATCTCCTCTCTATCCTTGATAATGGTGTGAATCGACCCTAGTGGAATGTCGAACTGACGATAAATCTCTGCCAGGTGAGCTTGCTTTTTGTCAACAACCTGGATTATTTCGTATTTTTTGTCATTTGAAAGGCATTTTCTCGTGCCCTTGACATCGTTGGTGACACAATACGCGTGTGTGTTGATAGGTTTCGGGCTAAATCAAGGTCTGCAGCACACCGCAGCCCTCTCTCGCTTCACACGCTGCGTGTGCTTGCAGTGGCATGGCTTGCGTGGGCTTGCTCCATCTTTGCGTTACTCTCTCTCTCTCTCTCTCTCTCTCTCTCTCTCTCTCCTCTCCTCTCTCTCTCTCTCTCTCTCTCTCTCTCTCTCTCTCTCTCTCTCTCTCTCTCTCTCTCTCTCTCTCTCTCTCTCTCTCTCTCTCTCTCTCTCTTACTTTTTACACATTGTAACGAGCCTTTGTCCCTGCTATAACCGGTTGGGCTGCGATGAGGCCCTGTTATTGCCGATAACTTTTAATAGAGACAAAGAGTAGGAAAAAACGGGGATTTTATATGTTATATATGGTTTCCACTGTATCTCAATGCGCTTTACATTGGAATACCATTTTCAAAATCTTTCTTACTACTTCCTTTCTTCTCATGCAATTTATTTATGGGCACACACACACACCCAGACTATTTTCATTCAGACGTAGGCACAGAACAACTATAATAAAGATAACGCTAAAAGCTTATGAAGGATAGGCCTGTAGGAACAGAAAATGTTTAAGATGTCTTTTGAAATTAATGCATATAGAAATATATTTGTCACGGGTTTAGAGAGGGTTTACTTGGTCTATGCCCATCATCTTGACCTGTCTCAAGGGTAGAGCCTGGATTTTGCTTTGAAAAGTTGTCAGTTATGCAGCAATATTTGAGAGGAGCAGACTATGCGGGCGTGAAGCGACACAGAGGCCGAGTCCCACAGACACTGTCTGTCATCTTCCATTTTACCCTCCTCAGGTTCTGGTTCCAGCGGTCGTCTCCTGCTGCTCGGCTTGCTGGTTCCCGCAGCCATCCTCCTACTCCTGGTCATCATCGGCATCATCGTCTACCAGAAGAGAAAATCTTTACCGTGGCCGTTCAGCACAGACACTTTTGGGAAGAGGTCGGCGGGTGCAACCAGCGCTTCTGTGGAACTCTCTGGAACAACAGTTCCAGAAGCACGGTCTTCTTTTAATGAAATAAGTGATCAGGAGGCCAGCCAGCATGTGGCTCCTCCGACATACTTGCAAGCAATCTCCGACCCCAGGGTTCTGTAGATGGAGCTGACCTATTTCACCGACCTGGGAGAAGACTTTTGGGGAGGGGGGGGGGGTGACCTTATTTAGGCCACATGTGGCCTAAATAAGCTAAACCCCCCTCCCTTACCTTATTTAGGCCACTGTGGCCTAACTAAGCTGAACCCCCCTCCCTTACCTTATTTAGGCCACATATGGCCCAAATAAGCTAAAGGGATTATTTCAAAATAGAGGATGATACTAAATGAAAAGTGGACCAAGGGTAAGAGTTGTGTGTGTGTATGTGTTTGTTTTGTCCGTGGTTGTGGTGAGAGAGAGATCTAGAGAGAGAGTAAATGTAATAGTGTGTTTGTATATATATGTGTGTAATGTGTTAATGTTATTGTGTGCATGAGTGTCTATCTCAGTTGTACGGTCCAAATGTACATTATTTTGTTGAGAATTTTACATAGAACTCAACTACAAAGCACCTTTATACAAATAAGTAGGTTTAATCAAGGTGTCCCGGGGGTCCACCAATCCTTAATTAAACCTTCTTATTCCTCTACGGCTATGGTGACTCCGGGGTCCACCAATCCTTTTAAAATTAATCCTACTTATTTCACTACGGTGACCCCGGGGTCCACCAATCTTTAAAGAAACCTACTTATTTCACTACGGTGACCCCGGGGTCCACCTGTCTTAAAACCTAGTATTTCACTAAGTAGACCCCGGGCCCCAGGTCCACCTTAAACCTGCTTATTTATCACTACGTTGACCCCGGGGTCCACCAATCCTTACTTAAACTTAAACCTTATTTCACTACCGTGACTCCGGGGTTCACATCCTAAAACCTAGTATTTCGCTATGCAGACCCCGGAGTCCACCTATCCTCTACAGGACTATACTATTATCAATTTGCAATTTCATTGATTAGCATATTTTTAAAAAAAATATTGAATCAGAGACTCTGTCTAAAAAGTCCACTGCTAATGCTATTCTTATCAAAGAAAATGGCATAATTTGATTTTATGACATGTTAAAAAAAAAAGAGTTTTAAAAATATCCAGAAAATAACATAAAATGATTATAGATCTATGTATTTTATTATGTAGGCCTATACTAAAAGACTGAGCAGAGGCTTACAATGTAAATTCTGTGTTCTACAAGTAGAGAAAATCTTAAGTTTGCGCAAAACAGATTTTAGAAAAAAAAGTTGGAGCTAATTATTTTAATAAAAGTAAAAGTGATTGCTATGGTGAGATTTGTTATTATTAACTCTGGAAATACAGTTAGTTGCTGAATCTAAAATTAACTAGAACTGTGCAATTCGTTTTATTTCAATTCCAAAGCCCAAAGGCATAGCAATAAGTTAGATCTAGATCTAGCAGTTGTAGGATCTCTGGCTGCTACTAGCATAGGCCTGCTACTACTGATTCTAGACAAGGAATCTAGATCTAGCTATCACCTGCACTATTAAAATCAAATATATGGTAAAATAAAAACAAAACTGTGAATTGTTTTGTCAGTCAGTACATCCCAATTGCCATAGCCGCACGTATAATAGTTGAATTATGCAATACCGAAGCAACACGTAATCACAGTGTGCAGGGGAGAGCGGGGTGCCCGGGTCGCTGACCGGTCGATTCGGTGGTTCGGCTTTTGTAGAGATCTATGCATTTTTTACGGAAAGCCCTATTACATGTACTAGATCTATTAGTGTTGTGAAAACTTCAACCTCTACAGCTCAGGCATCAAAAGATGTTGGAAAATAATAATACATCCTGAAGTTTCATAATTTATACAGAATAACACACAGCCAGTAAATATAGTTTTTATTTCGCCGAGTTATAAAAATTGCCTTGTTTACAGAAGCAAATTATTTTAATAGTTCCAGTTCTACCGAATCGATTTTCACGCGAATTCAACCATTTTGATAATCTTTCTTTTCCTTTTAAAAAGATGTAGGCCTGTTGGATGTGGCAATGCGATTAACACTGAGTTGTTTAGACCCATCAAAACACGAGGCTTTGTGGACAATCACAAAAGTCTCAAGGGTTACCGAGGCCGATTCGCCCTGCTGCGTGCACGTTCACTAAACTGCCTACTATCTACTACCAAAGATTCTCTACACGATCTTTGCTACTACTGCTACTACTACTACATGTACTACTACGAGACGGTACGAGAGAGTGCCACTCAGGCAAAGATAGTGTAACTTTGACTCAGCCATGTTGTATACACACTTTTATACCCCAAATTTGACCCGCAAGTCCATTCGGAGGATTTGACCTTTTCACTTGACCAAAGTGTGCCAGAATGGTAGCCTAGCTTTTGCCCCTACATGAAGGAAAAATCTGGCCCTCATTCAAACCATTGGGATGGAGCAAAATTTTGCTTATTGTGCTTCGTTCTTACAATATTCATTATGATTATATGATAATTTATAAGTTGTACACTGAAACAAAACTACTAAATGAGAAAGGTGCACCATTATGAAAGTGGAACAAACTCAGTTGCCTGAAAAGGGTAGTTTGAGCATGTGTGGCCTAAAATATAAGCTAAACCCCCCTCCCTTACCTTATTAAATTTAGGCCACTGTGGCCGAAATAAGCTAAACCCCCCTCCCTTACCTTATATAGGCCATATGTGGCCTAAATAAGCACTCCCTTTCTTTTATGTACTTAAAGTTAAAGGGATTTCGGTCAAGAATCCTTTGTTTTGTAAGAGCCAGTAAAGAATGCATGGTTGTGAAACGCTAGGTTTTAAGTTTTAGTAAGAGTTTCATGGCACTTGCAACACAAATGGGTCATACAAATACTGAAGATTAGAAGTGTTATTAGAGAGTTTACACACAAAGACAAGGAAAAGGAGAGATTAGGACGATAGATGTTCGATGACAAAGAAGGATCAAATTGCACCAGAGCACCGGCTAACCTCCCGCATGTGAAATGCTTAATGTTGTAATTTCCAGTCTGTGAAGCACAACTTTTTTACCCCCACTCTCCCTAGTGCCTTGTCTGTTGAGAGATCTAATGACTCTACAGCTCCTGCAGGGACTCAATGTTCTGTCCTACAATGCACAACTCATGACATGCACAGAGCTTTTTCTTACTCCTGTGCTGAACATATCCCATGTGGGATTTATACTAGTGTACGCCTTTTTTTTGTATTTTTCCTTTTCTTTTCATATTTCATGAAGAATTTCGATGCTTTGTTTTCATGGAGAAGATGTCAAGATAATTTTTTTAATTGCGCATGTTTCTGAGACTGTTGCCAGAATTTTTAATACAGTTGAATTATAAATTTGCTTTTATTTGTTTCCCTGTCCCAATATTATATGTATAGTTTGCTTGCCGTACTCTTACCAAAGCTTATTTTTGTATGTTTCTTTCTTTCAAGATTGTGCCTGATATTATGAGACTACTGTTCTACAACTCATATTTGTAATATATAGCTGGATTTTATCAAAACTATATTTTCTTTAACAAAACTGTTGTGAAAGGCTTAAATTTGACTTTAACTTTAAGAACACTTTTTATTTCTATGCTCTCTTGCAGGTTTTGCAAGAGAATGTCTCTCCCCAACAATGTGCTTGGTTCAACTGTTTAAAAAAATTATTTATGAGCTTTTTATTTTATCAAGTGTATAGAACATTATTTCCACAACTGTTTTATCGTTTTCATCTTATGAGCCTGTGCAGTGTTTTTTACAGGACTGTAGTGACTGGAGTTTATTGCAATCCAACCACTCTGAGTTTCATATATATAGTAGTTACCAGGTATTAATTTATTCTGTTTGACTGTGTATAATTTGTCCAAACTTTGTAGCCCTGCCGATGCTATGAGAGTATATATCTAGGTTAACAGGTCACAATGCAAGCAAACTAGTCACAGGCATAGGTCTGTACAAGCCTTTCAATACTTTCATCAAATGAGAAGCCTGTTGGAATTTTCTCAACGATTTTAGCCTTGATCCTTGACATTGACACTCAACACAAAGTAATTTATGGAGGTGTATTTATAAAAAGTATACATGTACTTGCTAGTATAAATCACAAATGAGAGTTCCTGTTCTCTTTGTGGACAAACATTTTTCTCAGAGTCGCTATCAGTCAACAGAGTTGACTCGCTTCACATTTTGTTTTGTTGTGCAATAAATCATGGCAGTCAGTCCATATGCAGTGGGTCTACAAGACACTCTATTAGCAGTAGCACAGATATTTATTATGCCTACAAATTGTCTGCTCTCTCACATTTGATCTTGCTTATCCTTTGTTAGTAATCTTTGATACTTAATTGTCCATGTTTGCCTTTTGAAAGGGGAGAAAGCTTGATTCTCTGTGAATTGGTACCTTCTTTCCAAGATACTTGTCTGTCTCTTGTTGTGAATTATGCAATTTTGGATTTTGTGAATTTATACTGGAGGTAGTCTGGTTTCCCCATGTTCTGATGATAAAATTTTTGTCTTTTTTATAGTGACCAACCGTCCACTGTTTCTGCTGATGAATGAAAGTTGAGCGCTTTGGATTCTTATAGTACTTATACCGACCATGTTGTTATTGTTACTTTCGCAGAGATCTCTTGAATTTTCTGCTTTGACTCAAGGATAATGGTGTGGTGAGTCCCATGTACAGTCTCAAGCTTCTCCAGAACTTTCATAGTATGAAAAGGCCAACTACTGTGTGTTGCTGAGGACTTAGAATTCGAGTTCTTTTTTTCTATAGACCAAACCATTTCAAAACAGACATTTTTGTTTGGAACATTATGTTTGATACTAATGTCTATCTCGCATTCTCAGCATGCAAATAATGCACAAGTCAATTTGGGAGATTTTGTTTGTTGAAACATCTTCACGGCAAAAGCACACAGTGTGAACTGCTTTGTCAATTTGCCGTCTTGCAGCAATTATGAACAAAAAAACAACATAATTTGGATGTATGCTCAAGCTTTCTGTCCAATTTTGATACCGATTGGTTCATAAACATTTCTTTGAACAGACTTTTTTCTGGTCAGCTGGTAGGCCTATTGTTTCCTGTAATCTGCCATCTGATTTACTAACTTATACAGTGGAGTTCACTTATAACGAGTCCTGAAACAACGAGAAGTCTGTTATAAAGACACTATTCTAAAACCCCGTTTTTTCTCCTTCT